GTAAAAATTAGTCGAGATGGACAGGTAGAGTCACTAATATCTGGCTTAAAGTTTAAACACTTTAGGCCATTATTAATGTCAGATTTTTCGTCTTTACCAATTGATTTACCATTTGATGTACATTGAGTGTCCGAATAATTGCCTTCAGTCTTGCTACGTGGACGGTGTCGGTTGGAATTTCCATTGGGAATTTCTACTTCATTTGTTTCTTTTTCCTCAACAGCACCAGAAAGTTTTTGAGCAGTGTTTGGTTTTTGACTGTAAGTGTCTTCGTCTGGCTCATAATCTACCTCATCCTCATCATCGAATAGCTCTGATATAACAATTTCTTCCTCTAAAATGTGTTGATCCATTGCTGAGAATGTTTTTTTGTGGAGATGCACTCTAAGCGTGCAAATATTGAAATTTTTATAGAAGATCGGAACTCGGAGTGCAAAGCCCGTAAATAAACATAGCTGTAACGGTAAAATGTGCATATAAATCAGGTGACGCGACCAATTATTTATCACTATCGTTATCGTTATCATATCGGTATGTTCGTACAAAATTTATATAAATACTCTAAAGCACCTGTATTGATATAGTAATGGCTACATTCGCTACTGATAAAGATCTTAATGCTGGTACTTCACAAGATGTCCATTTGGGTGTGAGCAGTTTCTCCGCCATTGCTTGCGTTGAGGACCGGGACGTAACATTAGCAACAGCTACAACCGAGATTTTTGGTCGCTTTCAGTTTTTGAAGGTATGTTTTCGAATGCTTACTAACATACACTCTAAACAACGCTTTTCAATGATGTGAAAAGATTATACTGACGATAAAGTACTTTTAAGATGCTTTTACATCCGAATATTTGTGAATATGTAGAAATAGTTAAAGGAAAACATGGTAATTCGATAAAATTTATATACATTAATTTCAATTTTCATAAATGGGTTTTTAGACAAACGAATTGAATTGCAATTTAAATTAGACCGTCTGTTTGTTATATTCGAATATCATATGAACCATGTTGGTAAATTATATCACCGTGATGAGCAGGGTATCATGAATGTATCGAGGTAATAGATTATTAGAAAAAAATATATATATATCAATAATTCTCAGAACGGTTGATCGAAGCAAGAAGCAAAGAAAAAAAAAGGATCAATAATTGTCGCGGCTGATGTTGAAATCTAGGGCCTCGATTTGAAAATATAAGCCCTGCCAGAATCCACATATACTCTTTAATTATCAATTCTATTTCTAAATCCTAACCCAACCCTAAAAAAAAAGCGGGAAAAAACACCCCAAAAAAATTATAAAAATTCATAACAAACTAGGTCCAAATTTCAGCATCAGCCACGACAATAATTGTCAATAAAATCAATATTGTGTTTTATTTGATCAATCAAAATTTGATAGATCTGCGATAATATTCAATGTGAAGATTTCCGGTGCTTGCTTGCCTTGTTCATGCCTTCTTAATGTTTTTTTTTTTTTTTTATATATCACAGATTCGTATTGACTTGGTTTTTGAAAATTTAAAGTGTAGGGGATGCTATGATCCGTGAATGGGCATTTCAGATCCTGAAAGCGCTAGCATATTTAAATAAAAACAATGTTACGCATCATAATTTGGCACCGAATAATATTTTATTGGATTCTCAGGTAAATGAATAGATATAATCGTCTTGGCTTTGATAGATTGTTTTCTGGAAACGTTTATAATACTCTTTAGGCTAGAGTGAAATTAGCAGAC